ACCATGGCAGCGGAGATCGTCTGGTGGAACATTACATACATCATGAAGACCAGGATTAATAAAAACTTTTGGAGGTATTTTCCTACGTTTTGACATGAAACTGTAATGTAAATATTTTTGCTTGCACTATCTCGAACCCTCGGAGCAGATTTTACTTTTCAAATTAGTAAATTAGTTTGTGGAACAATAAAGATTTTTGATAAAAAAAAATTAAAGGTAAAATATTAACGGGTCATTGAACAAGTTAATGAAAATTCATTATGGAAAATCTCCACTAAGCAAATATTTAAATCACCAGTAAGTAACTTTTCCTACGGCAGTAAGATTTTATTATTTTTATGGTTTAGGAATCGCTGGAATGCAGTAACGCCTATCGCAAGTCCAGTAGACACGGTGAATCTTACCACAGCGATGGACAACTTGCATATTGAAAGTGCACACAATAACTTCTTCTTTGGCTCCGGATTGATGAATGCGCAGGAGTGCTGGAAATGCTTTTGGAAAGGGAAAACGTAAGTATTTGAAAATGTTAATGAATTTATTTTAGTTTGGTGTTGCTATATAATAACTATATTGGGACAATAATCTAAATTATAATGATATGAGCAATACCAAACTAAAATAAACTATATTGGGTATTAGATAATGATTCACTGTCCAAAATGTGGCTTAAATCATTTTTAAGTTGTAATAACCTATAATTATGTAGTCATTTATCTTTTCCTACATTTTTAATTTTACTTTGTATTATTTTTTTTTAGTTGCAAAGAAGGTTCAAAGAAGAAAGAAATTTTGGCTTGCATAAAATTATCCGGTGTGAATGCGAAGAAACTTTGTTGTGACGAGAAGTTTTCTTGTTTTGTAACAGTTGATCATCCCGGACACATTCATATCATGAATTTAATGCACGCAAACACGTAGCATCTCATCCAAGGAGGTTTCATATTTTTATGGACCACTTTACAGTGTTGAAGAAAATGCAACGCCAAATGCAAACGCCATTTAAGTCTAACTACGTGTCACTGCCATTTTTTTTCTATTTTAATTATTTTTAATTTTAACTAATAGCTTGAACATGATTATGTCCAGGAATTGTGTGCACGCGATTAGCATGAAAAATGCAAAATTCAGTACATATATTAGTTTTATGCAATTTAATTAATGAAATTAGACATTTTTTGAACAACGTAAATAATATGTATTTTTTAGTTATGTTTAATTTTCAATTATTTCTCTGGTTATTTCCAGATCCAAATTTATGATTATTTGCTAAAAATTTTCTTAATTAATAAAATACGTAAATAATTGCTCCATTTAAATGCTTTAATGGATTTAAATATTAATTTAATGCTCAAATTTTAATAATTTTTTTTAAGCAATTACTCAATAACTTGTCAATTTTTTGACTACGTAATATTATACGTAACGCAATAATGATACAACGAAAAACGTATTCTAAGTATCAAAAAATTGTTCATATTTTTAATAATAGCATAATTTAAAAAATAATTTGATTTTTTTAAGTTAGAACAATTTAGTTTTTAAACTGTATAACATGATAAATAAGTTGCTATATTTTATTTTTGAAATACAAATTAAAGGTGCCCTAAATAAAATTAATGATCTGTCACAAATTTAACTGCCATAAATCTACCAAATGTGTAAAATTTACAAGTCTTTTTCAGTAGCTTTCTTTTATACTGAAAGTCTTAATTATGTTACTATCAAAATGGCCGCCATGTATTGTGCATGGCGGCCATTATGTTATTTAACTTTCTTTTAGTTATTTTTTTGGAAATTGAAGGATAAAAATGAAGTGATGTTGTAAATTAAGGGTAACTAATGTTATGTGAGAAATTTTTATCAGAAATATCTTGGAATTTACGAATTTTAGCGTAAATTCTAGTTTGCCTATGGTTACAAGGTTGGATTTGTTTGGTATAGACAATCTTAGAATACTAAAACGAAGACAATTAATAATTTTTATCGCCTTTATACTTACTATCTTATTAGGCTGCAAATTAAAGACGCACAATTTTTATAAAATTATATTATTCAGTTAGTACTTATTTAAACTTTAATAATTGTAATCCAAACCCACCATAAATATGTACGTAACATTGTAAACTTATTTCCACTATATTTGGATGTAAATCTCGTAAATAAGTATTTTCTAAGGATCTGTTTAGACGGAGAGTAGTTTATTGTAAATAAAATTGAGCTTTATAATATGAATGAAACAAGGATCAATTTACTTTGAACACCTTTTCTTATATAGAGTAAGCGAAAAAAAAGACTTTGTTTCAGTTATGTGGCGTCCAATTTTATTTGCGATGAAAATCTCTGCTATCCGTCTCGGTCTGTGTGAACGGACCAAAACTCGAATAATTTTACGTAAAACATTAATAGAATTTAAAATGCAATGAACAAATAGAAGATGTAAGTTTATCGGGTCACATCATGTTTTTTATAATCCCATTTTACTGTTTCTCTCTATATGCATTTATTTTTACTATAATTTTTTTTCTAAACATATTTTTTCAATCGGACTGTACTCATGACTCTTGGATGCTATAAATCAGGAATCTATTATTTTAGTTCCAGCAACGTAAGATAAAAAGAAGTTAAATTTGATTTACCTCTCACCACATTGTAATAAGTGTAGGGTTCCACTGCCGATATGCAAGTTTAAAAACATTTTCAACCCTTTATAAAAACAGAACCTAATACTTTTGGAAATATGTAGATTTAGTATAATCATTGGGAACTATTTTGAGATTGGTTGAGATTTAAATGTATGATTAATATCTTGTTGTCAATTTGTTGGAGATCTTTGTATATGTAAATCTTATTTTATAGATTTTTTCTCACTTAGTTCATTTTAACACGATTTGATTTCAATTACTTTGACAATAATTTTAATTTAAAATTTGTTACTTTTTTATAACAAAGTTTCATTTTTTTATGGTAATGTAGATCAATCGTTCAATTTGTAAATATCTCTAATATGGAAAGGATCTCGTATTAGTAGTAAAATAAGGTTTTATATCTTTTTATAAAATATGGTGCTATAACGTTGTAGATTTATTTTATAAATAGGTGTTGAATTTGAGCAGATACAGAGTTTTAAACAAGAATTGTACATCTCTGTCCTGCTTAATGAACAATTACATAGTTATTAAGGTGTTATGTAAACGGTAATGCTCAATCAAGCATTTCTACAATACTGTTTCTAATTTAAGACCAGTTTAATGTGATCCATCGATATAACACTTACGGATTCAACAGTGCATTTAAATTTATCATGTTTAATGATCGTGAATTAACTTGTATCAGTTATGCAATAAATATAGAACTATATTTTTAGAACTTTTAGTACGTTAGTTTTATTATATATGAGCTATACAGTTTTGGAAATAAAGATTTTTTCATAAAATTGAAATTGCTTCATTCAATCCTCCTCCCCCAAACTAACTACATTATAGCAACTTCATCGGTGAAAGAAAAGTTGGTGGATTTTTAAGAAATTGAAAAAATGTTCCGTTTTTTCCCTCGAGGCAAAAGAATCGGCAGTGAATTCAACGTGGTATTAGTTGTGTAGCATCTATAATTTATAAAAACTCAGTTGCTCTAAAAATCGATATATTTATCAACAGGTAATAAAAAATTATGTTAGCAGTTTATGAAATCACAAAGAATATCCATAATCCATAGCAAAGAGTAATAAGAATACTATTGAAAAAGGGCAAACTCGTACGAAGTCGTGGATCCACGGCGATTGTGGCGCTCCATGCGTATAATGGGTGAACTAATATTGTTTTTTTTGTACCTGTAGGCACGCATATTTAGCTCACTATAATAATAACTGATAAGGGGGAATCTAATTAATGAAGTTAAAATAGAAAATCAAAGTTCAAAAATAATATACCCACTTAGATAGTTATTGATATAGTGAGCGGATATCAAGTAGCCTTCTATGAAATACCTCTATTAAAATGATCCTATTATTGGGGAAATAAAAACAAAATATTTTTATATTTTTGTACATTATTTATTATATTTCTACATAACTTAATTTTAAACTTCTTCTTCTTCTTCTTCTTATATATTGTTGATATTGTTGAATAGATAGCGGAGCTTGCTGATATATAAGGAAGTAATTAGGCTGCCCGGTTGATGGCTGTTGCTGGGGCGATGCTTGAAATTGAGGAAATGATTGTAATTGAGGCATAGGGCGTTCTGGAAGACTTTGCGCAGATATAACTTGAATTGGTCGTGGTTGAGGCTGGTATATCACTCTCTGTTCTCTTTCATCTTGAGGCCTAGGTAATATTGAAGCATTTCTGTCTATGGGCAAAACTCTCCTCGTGGTATCTTCTGTAGTCGATTCCTCCACAGAGGCCTGACTCGACGATGTCGAAGATAAGGTTGAAAGATCCTTTTCGGTTACGGAAGTTGTAGGTGAGGTTGCAACTACGATGGGATGAGATGATAACGTTTTAGGGGTCGTAAATATTTCCGTTATTGGTTTCGGTTGGTAACTGGATTCGTTTATGAGATTGGCCTCGTACCATTTTGGTAATGAATTCGATATTTCAGCTCGGCATAGTTGTAACACTGCAAGAAATAGAAAACCGTTAGTTTCAATGATTATACACATAATATTTATTGAACGTAGGTGTTATCTTACTAATATTATAAATGCGAATGTTTGGATGTATGGATGTTTGTTTGAAGGTATCTCCAGAACGGTTGAACGGATCCTACTAAAAATTGGCATATATGTAGAACATAGTCTGGAAGAACACATAATCTACTTATTGAGTTTTTTTTAAATTCTGCTTAGACGGAGTTGCGGGCGCCAGCAAGTAATCTATAAATTGCAACAAGAAAGACACAATCTTTCAGTACTATGTCGGTAGACATCTAGTAGTTGCTAGTTTATGTACGAAATAATTATTGATTTTTACAATCTTTGAATCTGTATCGCTAAAAATAAAACGGATATTGTCAATTTTACAAGTATGTGAAAAGGAAGTAATTTATGGAAC